CTGTGAAAAGTTGTGGATGGTACCAATAGAACGGTTCTGTACTGTCCCCATTTTTGTGTCACCCCTCTGTTGGGGTACCTAGCACACAGATCTGGTACTAAAAGGTGGAGCTGTGAACACTGCAGACTGTTGATTGGTCAGTAGAAGATGGTCACTCTGCTCAGGGCTGAGCTGTGGCTGGTTTTAAGTCTTATGTAACCACTGTTCATACTGTGGAGAGTTTTACATATATTAGTAAACTATAAATGAAGCTGCCTCGAGCAGCAGCTGTAGTGGGAGATAAAAATAACTGAATTCACTGGTCTGACTGCTGGCAATTTTAAAGGTGGAATATTCAACTCAATGCATGAGTTGATGACATGAATCTATCAGCACACCTTAAATTTAAATGTGACAACTTTGACCAATTCATTAGTTTTTATTGTCTCTCTTGGATGACATACACTTTTACTAACGAGTGGATCTTCAAGGGTTTAAAAATATATATTAATTTCAACCAGATTATGTGACCTGCATATATTGCAATCCTCACTCGGTGAAAAAAAGAGCATCGAGAAGCATCGCTCCTGTGGGCTACGACAACACTAAACCAGTGTGCTTGCCTGAGAAGGACTAAATGCACAAACCTGCTAGGACCTACTTCTTAAATATCCTATCGAGAGAGACTCTCACACCAGGCTGTTCTATTTTGTTCTGAAAATGTCGGTGTGCAACCTCGAGGTGCAGATTGATGAAGGAAGAAATACAGTGAGTGCTGGACAGAGCAGTGAGTGACAACAACACCGCCCACATGAAAGAGTACTGTTTGTGGTGGAAATGCTAAGCAGACCTAGGGTCACTGTACCATGTCCGAAGGGTTAATTTTGGTTCCAAAGGTACCATACTGAAAGTGTTTGGTGGAAATGCTGCTTTAGAGCCTGTCTATGCCTGATACTATCATCCATCTTGGGTGATCCGATCACAAGTGTATGGCATTAAATACATATGAATGACCACCACGACTCATTGTGATTCGACCACTGAAACCTCTTGCTGAGGCAGTCTTGGACATATCAAGGCAGGACATGGTGGTTCCTTTGGTAACAGCGCTCTAACGCTGTATAACTTGCCCATTTTATGACAAGTTGGACTAAGTGTTGCATGACCATACATCTTTTGGAAGGAGACAGAATTCTGCTGACAGCGATATCTTCAGCTGTACCGACACATCTGCTTGCGTGACTAACAAGCATCCTAGCGAGCAGCTAGCGAGAGTTCATTGTGCCCTTTAAATTCTAGTGCAAGTGACACAGGCACTAATGAAGTCTGCACACAAGTGTTGAGACTCATGATAGATACAGGTGTGAACAATGATGTTTCTCAGCTGTGCACTTGTGTCTGGATCATCGAAAGGCATGTTAATACCAGATATAAATAGGCTCTTAGTTTCATCTATATTCTTCCTCTCTAATGTGATGCAACACAAACCAATCTTTAAGTAGAAGAACCTAAAGCAGCAGAAAGTAAAGTTATATAGAAATAATTATAGCTTCTAAATATGTTCAAACAGGTTGTTAAAAAGAGGCAAGAGAGGCAAGGTTGTAAATGCAGCAAACAGACCATAGCAGGTTCATTATGGTTATGTTTGTAAATTGGTTCTTGGGTTTATTTGTTTTTGCTTAATTATCGTTGTACAGCACAAGAAACAATGCTCTGGCCTGATCTCCTTCCCTTAAGGTGTTGTGGAATATTTCACCTGAGCTAGTAATGATTTATGCTTCTCTCCCGAATTGTATATTTTGTTGTAATATTAATGAGAATTCCATTTAATTTTTAATTGTTGTAGCAATTGTTTTTGGAAAAAAGGCTGGTCACTGCAGAGAATGGCCGCCTTTACATGCATACCAGAGCGAAACCCACACTCAACATTTCCAATCTACAAAAGCAGCATCTCCTTCTCAGTGAGACCCCTGATCACAGCTGTTTGTGAATGCAACCTCTTAGTCTCCGAGAATATCCTACTGAACTTCTGAGCAAATGATATATTCATGTAGAAGTAAAAGCCTCCCCTGTGAATCTCGCTCTCCAATCTGCTCATTAATTCTCCTGACAGACAATAGTGCAAAATAAACACAAACTCAAACATCATTTTTATTCTCCAAATATACAGAGCAAAAGCATCATAGATTCACAGACCAGTACAGTTAAAATACAACCATTTTTCTTTTTTTTTTTTTTTTTTTTTTGTAGATACAGAGGGCCACTGCCTGAAAATAGTGGTTTACCCAGTAGAATTTACATGTTGTCTTTTCATTACAATTATGCTTATGGTTCACTATTTATACAAACTCTCCAAATGACCATCAAAGTTAAGTACTTTTTTCCAGACCTGGGTCATGTAGTATTTGCAAACTAGTTTGCGTTATCTGGAGTACAGAACAATTCAACCAATCACAGAGAAGCGTACTCATTTGACTTTCAAATACTCTTCTGTGATTCTTTCAGTTTTCTGTGACTAATCGTACACTGTGCTGCAAACCAAACCACACTGATTCCTGGTGTGCCCTACAGGCTAATGCAAACTCTGAGGATTATTTGCAAATGCTATTTAGTCCAGGCCCTTTTCCTTACACACACATGTTATAAAAGTACTAACAAGGTATTGATTGGAAGAAAAGAAAAGAAGTGAGAGAGAACGAGAGAAACAGAGTGATAGAGAGCATTTACACAGTAAAGAATGATGATCAGTTCAATGTGTCAAATGGCATCCTCCCTAATGAGTTCCATCAGGAACAGTAACACTTATCATACAATGAGCGAGACTTCAAATAGCCTCATGTAAACCACCCTTTGCAGGCATAGGCGAGATATTGGCAGTACTAACATTCAGCATTTCTTTGTCCAGGTTTTTCCCCAGTTTGTTTAGACCCAGCGAAAAGTTTTGTGCAGTAAACAAATATAATATAGCCAGTGGGCAGAGAAGCCATTACAAACACTGACCAACAAGAACTCACTCCACACTGCTCATAACTTCTGTCTCTCACCTTTTGAAATGTGTGTATCCAGTGTACTACAGGCTAGTCTTATGCATCTCTGAATAATAGACTACCCTGCATCCTCTCCTCTCTGAAAAGGGTTGCTTTGTTTTATCAGGAAAGGGCAGCAACCCCTTGTAATTGTTCCGGGTCTTTGTGTTTATTCATCTGTTATGCCCTGGCATCTGTGCGGTGCTTGTAGCCAGGCAAACAAGCGCCGCCAGCACCAGCCGGAGAGGCGTCCACAGGTGAGGAGGGCAGACTTTCTCCCCACATGGGCTTTGATTCCCAAAGACTGACATGGCACTCACATCCTGTGGTACTCTCATGCCCACTGTAGCTGCTGCCATGGGGGGATGGGACAGAAGGCTGGACTATCAAATATTTATCTGTTTGCTGTGCAGTGTGCAGATTCTCTGGACTGGGAAAATGCATTATGTTTGGATCAGTGCGAGAGCTGCATCAGATACATAAAACTGGACCCTTTGGAGAGGAGTGCATATTTGTTTTGTTTTTTAGGGAGAGACATGCTGAATATCTGCGTTCTGCTAAGTTTTGATTGGTGACCATGTTTGAATTCGAAAGCTGTGGATGTAAAATGACACATAACATATGCAAATAATATAAATGGAAACTGTATCCTGTCCCATGCAAACTAGATCACGCTGTAATTGACTCTTGCTGATATCGAGGTAAGAATTTGATCCTCCACTCAAATGCTGAGAGAAATACAGAAAAAACGGCACAGGCATACTTGACAGTCATCATGGTGCCAAATGCAATATATTGCTGGGCATCTGGGCATATCTCAGAAGGGCTGAAGGTATAATAACCTCTTACTGCATCTCACTTCAAAGCTGTCCCAGCTAAGCTCAGCTTCTCATCCTATAGCCTCCCGTGTGCTCCGTGTACAGAGTGTGAGTTTCCCCCCTGTGAGATCCGCGGGGAAGAGAAACCGCTCGCACAAGCCTTTCATGTAATTTGGGAGAAACAGGTAAGGTTGATGAAATTTTTGGATGGGAAACAAAGAGAAAATGATTGTCTGTCGTACAGTTTTGATGCCACGTAGATTTGCGGAGCTCTAATATGGTGAAATCTGACTGAGAAAAAGAAAGAAAAGCCAGGGGAAAAAAATTATATACAGAGAAAGACAGCATTAGAGATTTATATACAGTCTGCTAAGTGCCAAGCTGGATTATCAGCGTTGAAACAGAGCTTTTTGTCTTAAGCTGTACAATGGGCGCCAATCCATTTGTAAAATTAGAGTCCAAACCGCTGCCACTCAAGTGGAAAACCCCATTCAAATGCCCTGAATATAATCAAATGTAAAGTGCTTACAACAACAACTTGCTTTTGTTTGAAACGCCGTGCTTGTTTTTTTTCATAGGTTGTTTCAGCCTCACTTCATCCCGATTGACTGCTCCGCTGCGGAAGATACTAAAAAACCCTACCTAATTAGATAAGATATATATTGTAACCTAGTAGACTTTCTGTTACATTTTAGTTTGATTTGACAAAACAGAAGTGACATTGACATTGAGAGCCACTGTTTTCAGACTTGTTTTACAGCAATCTGCTGTTATTTCCCAGAAACTCCTCTTTACCCTTCAAAGAACTGATCAAATAACAAGCAAGCTGATTCTATAAAGGTATGTCTGGGACAGAACCTTAAAAGACATATGAGGCTTTTGATGGCTGAAATCAAATGTGATGTAATGTATGATGTAACTGTGGCTGTTACAGAAATGATCTGTGTTTACTGCCTTATCAAAGGGCCTGCTTTAATACAACTTAAGTAGACAACAATGGGTTTTGTTCACAACCTTAACATCTTATTTAGAGGTCCAAATCTTACTTGACACAGTGAGGTGTGTGGTCGGATCCAGGATAGAATTAAGATAAAAGATTTTTGCTCATTTGCTTTACAGTATCTGCACCACGCACAAATCTGCATTAAGATTCCCAGTGTTTAGTACTGCAAAAAAAGCAACACTCTCCAGTCATCACTTTGCACAATGAATGACTACGACACTCTTGACGACAGGCTCACTCTGAAATCTTCAGTGAAGTATGAGCAATTGTGTAGCTGCGAGTTAAATCACTACTGTCTCTACTCTCAACTAAAACAAATACAGTGTCAGTGATTAAACAATAAATCCAATTTCATATATGTCACATACAGTGCAGAACAGAACAAAATAAAAAAAAGGATGCACTTGAAAAGAGTCAGTGTGACACCATCAGCTCCACAGTAGCCAAACACATGAACAGCAAAGAGCAAAATAAAACACATTTTCTAAATTTGTTCTTCATGTCCCTTGATGACCGGCACGATCATAGGTAGGTATACAGTCAGGGTGCACTAAGCTCCAGTGTCAACAATGATATTGACAATAGCAATGGGATAACCACACAATAAGAAGCTCAGCTAAAATATAATGTTTACATTTCATTCAACAGGTACCCTCAAGTATATGGCTGACGATCTGTGGCGTTTGCAGGAGAAACTCACAAGTACAACACATGTTGCAGTTTGTGGGCTTTCCTGCCACATGCCTCGGAGCTGGATTTGGTGTGGTAACACCGTGGAGGATGCAGCTCCCCATCAACAGAAGAGCTGATAGTGTATGTCTATCTCGCTTAGTCAAAGTTTGTATTGACACAGATCAAACAGACCCTCAAGGCAAAGTAGATATGGACAAGAAGAGGCGCTCATGTCTCATTTAGAGTCCTCCGTGAGGGAAATTAGATGCTAGAAAAAGAAATTACAGTCACGTATGTACACTGATATTCTTTTTGTGTCACAGTAAAATAATGACTCAGGGATTTAAAATGAGATCTCAGCCCCTCTTTATCTGCCCAGCTCTGTGGCCCAGATACTGCTGCGGAGAGAAAAACAGTCGCTCTTTTAAACGTTTGAGACGTCTGTGGGCACATGGAGAAAGTTTTCTTCCACCCACACAGGGGACAAGTTTCAACAAGCCGAGCTTAACATACAGTGTTTGAAAAGGAAGGTGGGGAGAGGAAAGAGTTATTGCTTTAACAACTAAAAACCACATGCACATTCATTTTTGTGCTTCAAACTACAAGGGAGCAGCAGGACATGGGCTCGCACTCATTATCGTGACGTTCGTGCTGAGTGTTTCAACACTTGTAACAACAGTCTCAGTTTTTCTGAATGACAATCTTCAAAAGGCAAAAAATGGTCTTTGCCGGGGTTTCTGATTGTCACACAAAGCCTTTGTAGTATTCCTGCCCAATTCCACTGCCGAAACTAAGTGTTGAATATTCATATTCCAAAATTGTGTTGTCTCTGTGTTGGCAAATAACCTCTCTGTGGCACAGTTCTGATGATGGGCTAAAAAAGGAGGTGGTTGATGAGTTAAGCATGAGGGAAATATAAGGCTTCTTGATCCACTTTTTGGGACACTGAGAAGTCTGAACAAGTCACATGGTGTATTAAAGCCAACCAGCCCCTGCATCTCCCGGTGTCCAGAGGAAACAGTAACAACGTTACTTAAGGGGCTCCTCGGAGCTGATTCTGTCACAGTTTTACAATCCTGGCTGCTTGTTACACCCCGTTCAAACGCTCTCCCTCCCCTGGTGGTCAGACGTGGGTCTGCATGCGCTTCTGGAGTGGCCGGGTGAGGTCTGAGTTCTGCGAGGAGGACTGGGAATAGTGGGAGGAGGAGGAGGCTGACGCCTTGCTGTCTTTATCGAACTGCACGTAGCCGTCCGGCTTACTGTAGCTGCTGACGCTGCTGTCACACTGCGTGTCAATAAAAGAGCTGGAGTCGCTGAGCGAGCCGCGCTGGAACTCCCGCTCACACAGCTCAATAGAGCTGCTGCCCATGCCCAGCACGAAGCGTTGGCTGTAGTCATAGAGACGGTTGGGACCTGCTCCCAGAGTGGAGTAGATGTTGGTGAAGGACATGCCCGTTGGTACCCGCTGTTTGCCCAGGGTACCTGTGTTGGTGGGGTTCCTCACCTCGGTGGACTGATTCCCAGCCATGGTGGGCGTGTGATGCTCCTTAAAGGTATTGACACTGTAGTAGCCATTTGTAGGATCCTATTGAAAAACACAGGAAAGAAAGATTATTATCACGATTATGATCAATTTTTTTTCCTAAGCTTTACGTAATAGCAAATCAATATTGGAGAAAAGGGGGAAACTAAACCACTGCCTTTTTTATATGCCTTTACATTTCATTTTCTCAAAACACAACTGGAGCCAAGGTCAAACTGGCAGTAATTACCTTTCAGATTTTGAATAAATAAGAAAACAGGCTGCCGTGTTCATCATGAGAAAGAAATAGAAAACAGTGGCGAAGCTTAGTGCTAGGATTTAGTCAGCCCCCACGCTAACCTTAAAATCGTGTTTCTTGCTAATTAAGCAGGCCTTGATGATTCATAGTTTGGCATCCAACGTGTCACTGCAAAGTTCACTAACATACCAGCTTTAATTGGACCTAAATGGATTGTAGTGTCTGTGATTTCATGTTTGCACTGAAATAGCTTCTGAGGCTACAGCTGTGCCACTTGTTTGTCTGCTCAGCGGCAGGCACCGTGCTGTTGCTAAGGGTCCAGTTAGGGCATTAGTGTGTGTGTGTGTGTGTGTTTTTATGTCCTCTTGTGAATGTATGTGAATGTCAAGCCTAGTGAGCATGGTGGCAAATCCCAAAGGAAGAATGCTTATAATGGGGAAATGAGAGAGACAACCTGAGAGGATTCTCGTTATGCTTGTCATTATCAGACAGCAGACAGGGAGATTGTTTGCGCCTGGCCTTCATCTCTTGTTCAGTCCCCCCTGTGCTCTCGCCTTGTGCACGCTGTCATTAACTAGGATCAAAAAAAAATCTGGCCCCAGGGGGAGCAGGTAAGCAGGCAAACACAACAGAAGCGCACTCCAGAGAGCCAACGCCAACATCCGTTTGGACAAAGGGACTAATGAACAGGTCAGAATGTGTGATAAGCACCAGTGTGCTGCAGAATCTCAACGCACATCACCTATATCACCCATACAGGGTCAGAATGATATCATCTTTGTTAAATATAAACTGCAGCATGAGAATGCATCTTCATCCTATTCTACATCCACAGCCATCGACAGTCATGTTGACAAGAATGCAGGTCGTAGGTGGAAGAAACACCTGCTGAGATAATGTGCTGTGCTTGATTTACCGATGCATTTACATGAAAAACTACAACAGAGTTCTTCTTAAGGTATAGTAAACACTTTCACCACACTTTTGAATAAATTCAACAGAAACTTGCTCATAAATATTGAGAATTTATCTTGCATAAGGGCAGGATGTGGAAACAAATTGCTGCTCCGCTGTATTTCTAAAAGATTTAAAAGCAGTGTGCAGGATTTAGAGGGATATACTGGCAGAAATGGAGTATGATAAAATATTTCCTTTGGTGTATAATCACCTGAAAATAATAATCATTCTGTTTTTGTCACCTTAGAATGAGCTGTTTATATCTACATAGGGAGCCGGCCCTCATCCATGAAGATGTTTCTACAGTAGCCCAGATTGGACAAACCAAACACTGGCTCTAGATAGCACCATTTGAAGTTGGCAGCCCCTCCATGACAAGCAATTTCAGAAAAACATCTATTTTCTAACACAAAACCAATTTATTCAGTGTTTTTTCTGGTTTAAATCATCCAGTCTGTTTGTCTTATCCATAGGATGAGACTCCTATGGATAATTTGGCTCTTTATAAAGACCTCCTGAACATCAGGATCTTACGTTATCCGAGAAAAAGGTGAGTTTTATCAGTGTTTCGTCACTTAAAATCACCGGGTCTGTTTGTTTTAGAGAGGAGGAGAGCTCTGTGGATAATTCGGCTCTTGGTAAAAACCTCCCAAAACAATGAGCATTGAAGGATCCCAACCAGGATAAGCTTAAGCTGGTTGCACTCTGCCGTTCTCACTGCTAGATGCCACTAAATCCAACTAAATCTTACACACTGGACCTTTAAAGACAGACAACAGAGTACAAAAAACTCTCAAGTATTTTATTTTTCTGCTCTTGACAGTTGGACTGGAAATAAGACAGTATACAGAATATAGTGGTGTAACAGCTACAAGCAAAGAATAATTGACTAATTTGAATGAAACCTTGTAATTATGATTTTGCAGGTGGCTTTACTACAGTAGAATAAAACACACATAGAAGGGAAAGGTGTCCTTCACTTGAAGTTAGCCTCTCAGGGAGTGAAAAAGGGCTTTAAACATGAATCTGTAACAATCTGCCAAACTGCGTGCGGATCATTTATTGCAAGAGTTACAAGTGGTAAAGTGCTTTCATGTGCGATAGGAGAACTGAAAGCAAAGCGCCTCGTCGTCTGAACAGACTGATCCATTCACTGCCATGTAAATGGGCGGACGGCTATAAATAGCTCTAAAGTCCTTTTTTATTACATTCATTGAATCCTGGCTGCGCTGAATAAGACACATTTGGTCGGATCTGACCACGCTGACATTTTAGTATTTTTTTCATATGCACAGAACTGGCCTGCATACAGGCTCCAAAAGGTTTATGGAGCAGGACTTTTGATATTAAGGGACGAACACATGGAGTGGATGTCATTGATCAAACAGCGGATTGAGCACATTGGGTCAGACTCATATATCAAGTTTCTAAAAATAGCATTATTGTCTTTTGTTACCTGCCACCAGAGGGGTCGAAACTGGGCTGTGACTCACACTGTGTTTACTCATTCTTTTTCACATTTTGATTGTGACACTGCCCATCTAGCGGTGATGTAATCAAAATGAGTACTTTAGCTGCAGCTGGTTGTAAAGATTACATCATCTGGTGTAACACAGTGGGTCAGTATATTAGATACGGTGTGATTTAGATAACATGATGAGCGTCTTATTGAATTTCCTCAGGATGGTAAATGACACATTGCCAGAGTTTATCCTAAATTTAGCTTAGCTTTTACAATCAAATTACAATCCCATAAAATTTCAGTGTGTGTTATAAGCATTGTCGTCTCACAGCAAGAGGGTTCCTGGTCCAAACTCAGGGTAGGGGGTTTGAACCCCAGGGTGGGGGAGCCCTCTTGTGTGGAGTTTGCATGTTCTCCCCATGTCAGCGTGGGTTTTCTCCAGGTACTCCAGCTTCCTCCCACAGTCCAAAGACATGCAGGTTAATTGGTGACTCTAAATTGGCTGTAGGTGTGAATGTGAGCGTGAATGGTTGTCTGTCTCTATAGCCCCTTTTACACTGCCAGATTTTCGGCGAATGTTGGGCTGTTTTGCCGGCAAGCTGCGAGCATTTAGACACACAGAGCCGGATTGGCGAGTTGATCCGAGGTGCCCAATTTTCCGCCTCGTAGGGTAGACATATTGGCGGAACCGTTTTGGTTTAAAAATTACGAGGCGCCCTTCCGCCACGGGAGGGGCTGTTGATGACTTGCGGGAGGAGCTGTTGATGACACCGCACCTGCGAGCCACTAAAGCGGTGGATAAACAGGAAACAGCTGATAGTAGGAATGAGCAGCTAGTAGCAAGAGGGAAAAGCAAACCTGACAGACACTGTAAAGATGAGCAACTGGGGAGACAAGGAATTGCGCGCCCTCCTTGTCCTAGCAAACAAAGAGGCCATTAACCGTCAGATGACGGGGACGGGGATTTATGAGAGAATCGCCGAAGGACTGAGCAGCTGCGGCTTCCCTCCCACGTCACTGTTTACGTCACACGCTGAGCTACACGTTGTTACTTGCTTACGCCCCCATTGCCCCGAAAAAGGCGCATTCTGTATAAACAAAGTAGGCAGGCGGCATTTTGCTGCACTCCCGATTTTGTTTTTATACAGCCAATGCTGAAAGAAGACTGATTGGGCTTTCCTGCAAATTTGCACAATTCCTAATTAAAAAGGGCTTATGTGTCAGCCCTGTGATAGTCTGGCGACCCGTTCAGGGTGTACCCCGCCTCTCACCCAATGTCAGCCCTTAACCCCCGACAGGATTAGCGGTTAAGGAAAATGAACGAATGGATGTTTTGATACTTTGATACAAGTGTAGATTGAGTCTACCAAAATCAAAAAAGAAAGAGCATGGTAACAGTGTATACTCTGGGATGGAGTAGGGGAACCTGAGTATCTAACAGTAATGTTGCAAGAAAGCAAGTAATGTCTCTGCCCTGATATTACAACCCTAGGACCAAAAAGAGCTGTATGTATTGTTATTAAAGGTGAAACAAACTAAACTTTCCTGGGCGAGATACTCAGGCTGTTCTTAATAGACTGGAGAGGTTCACAAGTTTATCTGCAGGTCCCAGTGGTTTTGATTTGACAGACACATTAATGGAAACAGAATGATGCTTTAAAGTGTGCCGAAGAAGATTTTTAAAAAAGAAAAGTATTTTCCAAATTCAGTATTGACTACTAAATCACTAAATGGGTTACAAATGCTGCTGAGAGCAAAATCAGTGCACCTTATAAACACTCAACACTTTCCCCAGTCCTATATGTGCTTTAAAACATCCGAATCCCATCTTTATGGTATAAGTAACACTTTAAGTAACTTAAAAAACAGCTTAAGGGCCAACCAGCCTCTGATTTCTTGAACCACCTTTGATGAGAGACTAATTAATAAAAATTATACCCCCAACTTGAGTCATTTTGCCTCTGGATTTATCCTTGGAAAATCATGTGTAGCAAGAGGGGGATTAATGCTTTTCTGCTATTTTGGTACCAGAGTTAAAGACCACCCTCTACCCCAAAGGCGTTCTCTCTCACCACGTTTTACCCGCCCCTGTGTGGTCGTTGTTCACGAGTTGTACCTTAATGTGCTGATACTCCTTCTCTTCCTCTTGTAATACCTCCAGCTGCTTCAGAACAGACTCCTGCTGGAACTCTCCTCGTTCAACCTGCAAAGGAATCAAGAAAAGAGTCTGTGTAGTTTCCGAAACTCTTCCACTCAGAGTAAAAAGATGTTTTGAGATGGAAGGATTTCACTTTCATCACTTGTTCTCCTCTTTTATTATCAGTCAGACATGTTTCACCTTCACTCAGGGCTGGCAGGGACCATTAATAATGTATCCGTGAATATCTTTTATTTATCTCAACAAAATGCATATTTGTAAGGTAGCTAAGCTCATTTCCCTGCACTAACATCAAGTGCTGACTGTATTAAGAATTTCTGAAAGAAAATGTAAAACCTCACACTGCAAATAGCCCAGCCCTGGAGCAAACTGCATGATAACCAAAACACTGGTACAGTTCCAAAGAGGAAACAGTTCTTTGTGTGTCTAGGAGGCATGTAGATACAGAAGTACACCCACTGTAGGATTACCCAGTATGCATCAGCATCTGCATAGTTACAATGTACTGGGGCCTGTTCCGCTCATAGGACTTGGCAACATATTGATAAATATAGACCCTATGCCTTGACTACAGCACATCTAAACGCCTTTCTGTTCTTCCATTACTCAAACATAACATATTGCATGGGAAATAGCAATGACAATAGCATTCATTATTTTAAGAAAGACAACAAATTTAAACATAAAAAACATAGTTGAGATGTTGAGAAATGGAAAAGTAGTATGTTGCGACACTCACACTCACCATCAGTTGTTTCATGGAGGTGTGTTCTTCGTTTTCTCGCGCCGCGTTGTGGTCTTTGTGCACAATCTCCACCCGGATGTCATTTTTCGCCGACACCACTCCTTTCAGATCTGGCAGAAACAGATGACACATATATCTCAATAAGCTGGATAAACACCATCCTGTATTTGTTGACATTATAATTTCCCCCCAGTGCAGTTTGCAGTATTACAGAATTTAGCAAAGATCCCTGGGTTTGGTTTGTGAGAGCTCCCCCAATTTCCCGAAAAACAATACAAATCATTATTAATCATTTGTTTCCTGCCAACACAAGATTATCTTTTTTTCTGCATACATATGCAATCTCACACAGCCTTTCCACGGATGGCTCATTCTGTTCGGGACAATGCTGATGATACTGTCATATAACAAAGTCTTACTTTCTGTCTTAATTTTGCTTGCAAGTTCTCTCTGGTGAGCACAGATGGAGACGGGCAGTGAGGGCATAACCAGGTGCGCTTCCTCTGTAGTATACAGACAATAGACATGCTGAAGGGACCAGTAGCACAAATTGGTTCTTGGATAGAGACAGTGGCTGACTGTCTCTAACCTGAGTCACTTGGTACATGGGTGGGTGGCAGTGAACATAGCGCAGGATGTAAATAGCCTCAAAAGCGAATGCAGCCAAACTGAGATTGCATGAAATGAGCCCTTATTACAATCTGGCTATCTCTGCACCACAAAAAGATGTCCATCACAAACAGTGTTCCAGCAATTTATCTTGTGTCAGAAAATTTCTTGCAGCAGCTGGCAATGTAATCTTGTTTTTTTTTTTTTTTTTTTTTTTTAAATAGATTCTCCATTTTTAAGAAACCTGCAGACAACCAAACTCCTGCAAGCAGATGAATGAAAACAATATCTGCATCCGCATAGATGGACATTTTTTTCTGGGGTGCCTGGGGGCGATACAGTACTTTGGCATGCATGCTTCAATGGATGTAACAGTGGAAGAGGAGACGTACTTCTCTGGGAGCGGGTGCAACAGAACGCTCCAATGGTGCCCATGAGGACAATGAGGGCCACAAAAGCTCCCACAGCAATGCCGATGATCACCGCCACTGGGAGAGATTCTGCAGAGAGCAACAAAGAGAAATGTCCTACAATAACACACGACAAACATCTCAAATGTGCGTCAAATTCAATATAGGGCACATGACGGAGAGTACAGAACAGCAAGCAGGTATAATGTAGAGGCCACTTTTCTCTGTCTGGCACATACATGCGCCAGTTCTCCTCTGCTCTGCCTCTTTTCTGTCTCTGCAGCAAACAGGAACTAAGAGGAGATATGCTATATTTCATCCCTCTAAGTGACTTTGACATTATCCCTGAGGCACAAGGCTAGGAAATAAAAATACACAGACACAGTGCCAAAGGAAAAAAAGAAGAAAGAAAAAAAAGTTGTGTACTGAAAACGAAAAGTTATTACCAAACCTTTTGTTATCGGGGTGGGTAAAGATTTTCCCAACTAATATTGTCTCATTATCCTACTGTCTAATAACTTTTAATTTACACTCATTTAGCCTAATAGAAGCCTTTCACCCAGGGCTTTTATTTTCATTGAGTAGAGCGCGAGGCTGTGTGCATTAGTTTAGGCATAATCATGTTTGTGTGTTTCTGCAAGGATGTTATAGTGCATTTGCGACTAGGAAGAGATTAAACCTGCATCTATATGCCGCTCCAACATTAAAGGTTCTCATTAAAGCACACTTTAATGACCTGAGTTACCAGCCCACGTTTATGACCTTCTCGCATTTTAAACAAATGCAAAACAACCAAGTGCTCTTCCTACACCATTAAAGCCTATTTAATGTCTTCATTGATCAATGTCACTTTCACATAAGCAGCTTATAATTTATCATTTGCGATAAGTGGATAGAAAACACTGCTTCCCCTACCGTAGAGGGGAAAAGGTCAACAGATAGAAAGGATTCATTCTTTTAATCAATAGAAACAGGGGGTGTTGTAAGTCGCTCTTTTACATCGAGAAAGCAGGACGCGCAGCGCATTTTATGTTCAGCATGCAGTTTATGCTAAAGGTCACGAGTTCAGATTACCAGACTCATTTGTTAGGAATTCATCAGTGTCATCAGCACATTAACTGTACATCAGACATTTCAGAATTTAGCCCACGCAGTCTATCTTTGTGTTATCATCTTTGGTTTCAAGTTGATAAAATGTTAATTTTTAAAAACTTTTTTCAAATAGAATATATATCGAAATGTTGTTTATGTGTATATAACTGCTGTATCAAAGTTAAAAATGGCTATATAATGTACTAAAATCTATGTGTCCACGTGTCTTAATTGTTTTTGTGCATCAACATGATTCATAGATGACCAATGCATTATGAAATCACGCCTCATGCATACTTACACATGTACGTAAAAACACATTTGCACATGAACATACTAACAATCACTGTACAGTCACAGGCTTAGAGTCACAGGGCAGGCACAACCACAGTGATGCACACGAAACTCTACAGCTTGGTTCTCGTCTACCATCCATCAATATCTAGAAAACCACAGTCACGTGATTCGAAGAAGAGGAAGGTGGAACCTGTCGAACCTTGGCTCCCACCTTGTTCCTTAAGGCGTATGATCTCGGTGTCCGAGCCAAAGCTGTTCCACGCGGTGCAGTTGTAGATGGTCTGGAAGTCAGCTGGGACGATGTTACTCATGGTCAGTGTGGAGATTACTCCCTCTTCTGTGGTGACGGTCTCCACGGTGTAGCGGCCAGATGTCCCAGACTCCAACACGGTTTCCTTCCATGACCAAGCCTGAGAAAAGACAGAGGATAAACAGATGTATTGTGTATGAGATTTTTAGCATTAGCAGCAATGTAGAGCAGTGTTTTATTGCATGTGTTCATGTATTGTTTATATTTCTCATTGTACAAGTTGGGAAAGAAGGAGACACAGCAAATGAATATGCATTGGTGATCCCCTGACCTTTCCTCTAGCACTACCACTAGGGTGACATTTCTGTTTTTTTTAGGGAAATATATTATCAACTATTGGATGGAATGCCATGAAATTTGGTTTGACATTCATGCCCCATTTCAGGATACATTTTAATACTTCCTAACTTTTCATCTAGCACCACCAGCAGGTGGAAGTTTTAATTTGCAAGTTCAGTTCATGACCAATCAAATGATGTGCTTGTGCGCTAATGTGCAAACATTAGCATTTTTATTGGGAACTTGTTACCATAGTGGCATTAGCATTTAGCTCAAAGCATTGCTGTGCCTACGTAAAGCCTAACTGTACGTTCAAACCAACAGCGTCCAGAGCTTCCAAAACGGCGGAAGTCATTAATTTTCAATGAGAGCCTGGCGACTTGGGGGATTTGGGCGACCTGGTCATCAGCCACGTGTCTTGGGCGACCAAAGTGACCGGAGCGGGTCCGGAGGGGAGTTAAAACTTGTTTAACTTTATGGTAATGAGCTCTGATGCGGTTCAGCAACAACCAGATGTATGTATGTAGTTTTGGGTCCTACAGCACACTTGTTCCGACAATGGATATCGAGAAGTTGATTACTTGAGTTGGCGCCCACTCAGCCCTTTATAATGTGTCGCTGTTCGGTTACAGAAACCAAAATAAAAAGAATGAGGCTTGGGACCGCGTTGCAGAGGTAGTTGGTTGGTCTGGTGAGTTTTAAAGTGTGTAATGTTAGTAATAGAGGAGAGAATTGCAGGGTAATGTTGCGACGTAGCATGCAAGTCTTCCTGGCTTGGTGTGAATGGGATGACATACTGCGTCCATGAGAGACTTTGCCTCTTTGGAAGCTTCTGGTTTGAACGTACAGTCACAGAGCTGATAGCATGACTGTAGACTCTTAAAGACTTTAAGTAAGACATATATACATAGGCATTAAGGAGGCCTACACACAATACAAAACACACATGTTGACAATGGAATCTATGTTTGCACAGTTGAAAAGCCACAGCCAGGAAGCTTGCTCATATGTTAAAGGCTAACAAGCTATCTAATACAGTCGGTGACTAGAAGAATAGAAACATGTTCAACTCTTAACCTGATAACAACTACCATATGTTATGGCAGTGATGGAACAAGACACCTGCAGTAGTATTAAAGCTTACCAAGCAAATGCACAACTACCCAGTGTTTATCGGTGAATCCTCCCTTCAGTGTGTGATTGCGTTCATTGGGAGGTGTTTAATGGGATGGTGCTAACCTGCAATCATTATTTGATTTCACCTATATGTTGGATGATTCTTGCACTCTGTCAGACAGCTTTGTGTTGCCAACGGTAGCCCACACATCTCCATGGAAACACACAATGACCATGAATAGATGAACTTAGTGCTCTGCAGTAATAAAGGCATAGGTATAAGGTGAGATACTGGTCACTGAGCAGACATCGGCTCATTGTGCTTAATTAGTAGTTTAATGATTAAGGGAAGTATCAGAGTGGAATGAATCTGATGTTAAAGTAAAGACACTGTGTTATCTTTAAAATGTTGTGGTTTTTTTTCTGGCTGTTTGCTGCTGTTCATCTCATTTGACAATCTGCCAACTCACTGATATCCCTGGCATCTTCAGCATTCTTTGAGCTGATGTCTAATGGATAATTGCAAATTGCTTGTACTGTAGGCAGATCTCCTCTCACTGCTGGGTTTGAATTACAGCGCTCTTTGGAGTGGGCTGCTGGGAGACTCTAAACAACCATTTGTAGAGCAGTGATGGCTTTGAATTAGAGAAATATAAGTAGGTACTGTAGGGCAGGAGATACAGTGTATTTGAATATGGTAAATTATTATGATGGCAAAAGAAGGATGAGCTTAAAATGTTCTTCAGAAAGAAAAAAGATTACACCTTAAAAACAATAACAAAACTTTTAATTTCATTAATGATTCAGTTCCTTAAGGTTCTGAATTGTTAGAAGAAAATTTCTCTTACTGTGAATTGTGATGTCAAATGGGTACATGCATTGCATTGGATGCTAATTTTGTATGTGTTAAATAAATATTAAAAAAATGTTAACATGTTTTCAAATGACACCGTTGTTGTATTAAAATTCATTTCAAATCAATTAACATTTGGTGTCTCTCTGACAGACAGCAACTCAAACAGAATATTTTGAATTAATGTGTTTTGAAATACTAGCAAAACAAAATGTCAAAAAACTGAGGGGGTTTGAGATTTTTGCAGGGCATAATAGGTAAAAGGAAGTGATGGATGTGACACATGATGGACTAATGTGAAGTGGCATTGCCACTTCGAGTGATGTGGATGAGGGGTACGCAGGAAAACAATAGATATTTGCATATACTAGGCTTATTTATGCAGTGCTATGGTAATGTAGCACGAGCCATTTAGTGGCTGCTTTTGTTCAAGGCTATAGTGAGAATTACATTGTTAGTTTTTGCTGATTTTAAATGAACAAACAAGGAAATTCATTACACTGGGTAAGAAGCGAGAAAGACAAATTGATACTCAGGGGATAAACAACACATTCAACTTCAAGCTTGCAGTAATGGACAGGTGGCTAAATAGAGTTGTGAAATACAGTGTTAAAGTGTTACAAATTTTGGCGTGTTTCAAGAATGCTGTTAATTGACTTCTCAGATACAAAATGACTAATGTGAAGAGCTTTCCTTGCCCTTTTTTTTTACAGAATATTTTTGTGGAGTTCTTCTTTATCTGGGTCTAAGAATAAAGGATGTTGTGTTTTAAAGCCATGTGCAGTGTGTGGGAATAAATGGTCTCTAACAGTAAGCATTGCAAATTGCAACCAGCTAAAACTTCCTGTTAGAATTCTGACAGTGTTTATTGTTCAAGAGGTTTTAATTGAGAGCCGAATAGTCTGCAGAGGTCCAGAGGGGCTGCTCACTACAGTCGTTGATGCAAAAACGCGAATGGCCCATCAAGACCCAGTGTTTGGTTTGTCCATTTTGGGCTACTGTAGAAGCATGGCAGTGCAACATGGTGAACTCCATGGTCGAGGTCCAGCTCCTATGTACATATAAACGTCTCATTCTATGGTAACAAAAACACAAGAGTTCTTATTTTCAGATGATTATACACTAAATAAAATATTATTATGTTATACTTAATTTCTGCCTATATACAGTATATCATCCTAAATTCTACACACTGGACCTTTAACTTGCTGTAACCACATCTCAGGTTTCACATCTGTAATTTCTGTAGACATAAAGCAAAAGAAAGGAATGCTGCACTGTTACTTAAATAAACAATTTGGAATCCAGAATAAACATTTCAGACCCAGCAGCCCGGCCTCCGCATGAGCCCCTCTCAAATAAACCTGATATTAATTATGTTGCTAGTTAATGCTGGACACCAACATAATAAAAACACACATTTGATGACAAAGTATGGCAATTAACCACATGCATATGCACACACACACAGACACACATACACACGCATACAAATTAATAATAAGCACAATGTGAGCTCAGAGAGTACGCTGTTTATATGAGGTCCATAAATCTTAATGGGATCACTGCTAACAGAACATGAGTGTATTTTTTTCATGCCTACCTTTTCATATGAACAAAAATGATGGAGCTAATGCTGTAAAATACTTCAACTTATCTTTACTCATGTATGCTGCCTATATGTAGTTAACAAATCAATAGTGCAGTCGGGCATTATGTCAATAGCTCAGTCAAGCATTGTATTTCAGACACAGATATTAAAGAGTGGTCATTATTCAGTCTAATCTGCATCGTTCAAGCACCATAGATCCATAAAATATCTACACATGAAGGTGAAGGTGAAAACAGATAATAATAAAAATAAAATTACAGAAATAGTCAAGTGTACTTACAATGCGGTCTGGAGGAGGTGTACTCCGAATGAAACATTTGATTTGTCCTTTTTCTCCGTGTAAAGCTTGCTGAGTCTGTGTACTGGAGATAGTCGGCGGGCCTGGAAAAAAGTACGATAAAAAAAGTTTGAAGATGAGTTCCAGAAATTGAAACATGAATAATTAAATTCATTTTCAGTCTCAGGTCATATGACAATTCTGCCCAATGGAGTTTTTGTGGCACATTATACCCTAACTGCTGTCCTGTTCCACACAGTAACACCTGAAGTGTTCAGTAATTTGGGACTCATGGGGAAGATTGTGTTGCAGCGTGATATGAACATGCCTCATCCCTCGGTACAATCTACCCAAGGACACGGCAGGACTGAATGAAGGGCATGAGTGGGGGCCTAGACCTCATTCTGGATCAAGAAATTGTTGATTTATGGCTGGCTTGATTTCTCCCATGGAGATAAACGTCGGTGGAGAGTGCTACAGCAGTTCTTTCGAGCGTAATCAGCACTACACAGATGGAAAGAGAAAAAAATGCCATTGTGCGGAGATAACACACTTGTCGCAGTGTATAACCTCAATCAATTTGCTTGCAGCAAATTTGACCCCTGAACCAATAGTTTCGCAAAAAGAAAAAAAAAATAAACCACTGAACATTGAGCCACAGCTCTCTATAAACACTCAAAAAAAAAAAAAAAAAAAATCAAAGACAACATCCAGCAAGACACTGTAATTACGCCTCCTATAACCTCTATACAATGTTTGTGTGAGCTTTATGTTTCTTAGATGATAATTTTGATTAAATGGAATGGCTTTGTTATAATTACAGGGTTTGTTCAATCAACACGAGTTGCAGGTAAAGGACTTGGAGCCAGCATGTGTTAAACCTTGGTCAGGCTACAAGATCTTGCCTGACAAGGGCAGCTCAGCCTAAACGACTGGTCTGCTTGCCATCTGGTCTGGAGGCTGTTCACACCAGGTGACAGCACTAATATGAAGACAAGATGTCACACATGACCCAGTTCTGTCTTTCAAGTGTATTTTCCCTTTGGTCTCAAAGAGCCCACTGTAAGTGGAATTTCAGAGGAGCCAAGTACAGAGGCAATAGTTTCCATTTACCTTAATCTTATATTTAAATACATTCAATTACAGTGCTAGAAAAACACTGTGGAGAAATTCTGTATATGATCCAAGCATATTTTTTATTTTACATAAGGTAATTCCAAGAAAAGTTGTGTAGCAGTTCGCCAAGAGTGTAATGAAGACAGCTGGTAATCTTGCTGATTCAAACTACATGAGAATGAATCGTGTTTTTGTTCAGCTTATTTTCTCTTTCAGTATTTTTTCTCATCATGTTTTCTTGCGTTTAGGTGTTGTTTGCTGTTTGTATTTAACTGCACAATTCTGATGTGCAGTGTTGATGTTTATGATTTTTTCTTTGCGCTTGAATGGCTTTTCCAACAGTCGCTCAAAGACTCAAGATATGGGCCTATTCACAAGACAGTCCGCGCTCACCGAAAAAATGACCACACGGGTGGAGCATGCAAGGCGGTGCTCTCAAGCGGCTGTAGTGATTCCTACAGGAGCAGAGGAGGAAGTGACGTGATGTAGCCATCCTGTTCTCATTCTGAATCTACTTTTCATGGCGGCATGATATGCCACCAGTCGAACTGATGGCACTAGTCACGGCACTATGATACGTGGATGGATGGTGTCACTTCATAATGCGTTGGTATGATAGGCGGCTGGGCAGTGTCAATTGTAAATGCTGCTAGTAACAACTGAAATTCAGGAGCTGGAAAGTCCCTTTAGGATGGATGGAAGGGGAGGTGGATTGGTTCAAGAAACCCTGGACTTTCACCAAGGAGCACAGTGTTTGCTTCCCATATGAATGTAGAGCCAAACCCTAATGTCTTTTTCTTAACCTAACCATGTGCTTTTGTTGATGTCCTGTCCTGCAATGTCAACATCAGACGCAGAAGGATACCTAGCACGTAATATGTAGGCGCAAAATTTCACTGACAAAGCGGCAATATGTGAGGACTTGGGATGAGAATGTGTTGGACGCAGCATATAAACAGACAAAGTCCTCGTAATGTACAAATGCCTAAGAAGGCCTTACAGGGTGGGCGAGAGGGGTGGTGGATGGGTCAAACAAGCACAGGACTTTTACCCAGGAGACCAGTGTTCACATCCGAAAGTCACGTTGACTTCTTGAACAACAACCTTGCATAGTAGCTATGTGCAGCATGCTACGCTAGCGTATGTGACAGTAGTGACAAAAGTAGTTATTTATGTTTTTTTCCTAAACTGAATCAAGTAGTTTTGTTGCCTAAACCTAACCACATAGTTTAAGGGAGGAACTGTAACAGTTTTATGATGCTACAGTAAGAATGTGTTTAAAACTGTGATCATTAGAAAGGCAATATGTAGTTTTGGGGCTGGTCATATAAGTCGTTTTGGAAGTCAGTGGAAACTGCACAAGACAGATACCCAACCACACCCAGCCTGACATAATCAATCATGTCTGAAAAAAATCACATGGGCTTCAATCAGTAGCCTTGAGTTTGTTTACAAGATGACCACATCCTGATTTAAGTGTTCTGGTAAAATTTCCTCTGAGCCCTCCAGACTTATTGTGAGAAAATTCAATTAAACATAACACACGAACAAAGTGACATTATCCCTCTCATCCACCGTTATTTCTATAGATTTAAAAGCTGGTTTTCTAAAGACATGTTCCCACAAAAATAACACAGGGAAATGTTTTTATTTTTTTTAATGGTAAAAAGGCCTTTAACAAAGCTGTTAAAATCAAACATTAAGCATGTCTCTTGTGATGGTTAAGGCTAAGAATGTGGGTTTGAGGGGGTGGCAAGTGAGGCAGCTTCTTGATTAGTGAGACAACTCGCTTCTCCGCCAACTTCCCTCAAACTCCCGCTCTCTGCCATCTCTCTGACGATACATAATTGCAGTTTATTACCTGTCTCTTATTAAAATGAATTAGCATTTTAATGAGACTTTGCCAGATGGCGTCTTGGTATGCTACTGGAGGATGCTGGAAGGCTGCTACCCCTGCAGAATCAATGCTGCAGACAATTTAAGAAAAAAAATATTAAAAGCTGTTCCCCTTCTTTCACTGGTCTGTCAACATGTAGTGACAGTACAAGTACAGCATGCATGTGCTATAGTTCACATAAGGACATTTTTACGTGCATGTATTAACCTGTGATTGGGAGATGAAATGTAAGTATGTGATTTGTATGAACTACGACTGTCTGTACACGACGAGATCGATTGCTTGCAGGCTGCTAAAGGCCGGTGGTAGTGGCTGGGGAGGATCTATTCTATGGATCAGAGCTGCAAATGAGGAATATAATTAGATAGCTTTATCTCACTGGCTCAGCCTGGGTTTAAAGTACGTGCCTGTATGCCTGTGTGTGTGAGTACGTGTTTGCTACTCAGACTATGTGATCAGAGCACAAACACATTGGTAGCAGAGAGGTGGGTGGCACTACAACATCAATGTTAGCAGCAAGGGAGGTAATCAAAACGCTGGGAGCAATGTCTCACTCATTCATTTGAGGAGGTGTTAACTCTGGAGTGGACATTGCAATCTGATTACACAATATCGGTGTGGGTGTCAAAAGGCCGGGGCTCACATTTCCTTCCAAAACCGTGGCATCGGCTTTGAACAAAAGCTTGACATTTCCTCGCTACCTCAGCGCTGCTCTTTTGATTTTTCTGTTTACCTTTGTGATAAAAGAGAACATAAAACAGCTACAGGGCAACTGAAACAAAAGAAAAATGTCTGGTACGGTCACTGGTGGCCACATTTTCCTCAGGGAGAAATCCATGGAGAGTAGATCCTGTCAAAGCTGCCAAGCAGAGATTGATATATTTTTTTTATATTTTTGAATAGTTTAACAGACTTCAGACGGCTCTACTCTGTTTTCAGCATTTTTTTTCTTCTTCTTTTTTACTTTTTGCCTTCAAGCTGATGACAGTTTGTGACGGGTTTCTTTATACAGTCATCTGCTGCAGGCATGCTACTGAAAGTGTTTACATTGAACATACACTGCTACATGTAGCTACATGCTAACATCAGAGAAACACGTAAACTTGGTTGCCAGTGTTGTACATTTCTCCCTGATCTGGCTGTGTTTAGAAGCTTTTATTGGTGAATTCTAATGGGAAAAAGTGTGGCTATACACAACATTCTCCGGTTGCAGGTACACTGCTACATGTAGCTACATGCTAATGTCAGGGAAACATGTAAACTTGGTCGCTAGTGTTTTACATTTCTCCCCGATCTGGTTGTGTTCAGAAGCTTCTATCTGTGAATTTTAATGGGAGAAAGTGCCACTATACACAACATTCCCTGGTTGCAGGTACACTGCTACATGTAGCTACATGCTAACATCAGGGAAACATGTAAACTTGGTCGCTAGTGTTTTACATTTCTCCCCGATCTGGTTGTGTTCAGAAGCTTCTATCTGTGAATTTTAATGGGAGAAAGTGCCGCTATACACAACATTCCCTGGTTGCAGGTACACTGCTACATGTAGCTACATGCAAATATCAGGGAAACATATAATCTTGGCTGCTATTGTTGTTAATTTGCTGGATCATTTTCCTGCTGGAACAAGTCTGGTTGTGTTTAAAAACTTTCATTGGGGATTTTTCATGGTAGCAAGTGCCACTATACTTCAGTAATTCAGGTGTGATGACATTGCAGAGACAATGAGCGTGCAGAAGACCTGGAAATGCTGACCAATCAGAGCAGACTGGGCTTTCTTGAGAGGGGGGCTTTAACAGAAAATGACTAAAATGAAGCTTCTCAGATGGAGGGTAATTACAGGTGTTTTGCACACACAGCATGACAACAATAATGTTGTTTTTGACCATTACAGCATCTTCTAGTAGAAATCTTAAATACAAGCACAAGTAAAATAAGCAGAGTAGGTCCCCAATTTCATACTCGAAATGTAAATACGTAGCTAAAATTATGTGTCCACAAATAGCAGATACATAATTTCCAAAGGAGCATCGCACCAATGATGATTCTGACTATTAACCCCTGTACTTTGAGTCTCGGTTATTTCACACACTCCAGTCATTCTGGGCTGTGTACACAGATTGGTTAGTAAGAGTGAGTGTATTGTTATTACTGCTATTAGTTCAACTATGCTATGCATTAACAGTAGTAGGTCGGAGTGGATGTGGAGCCGCAATCACAAATAATTTCATCTTTATCCTTAATTGGTCAGCAGAGGCAGCCATCATGTTTAACTTCTGCAATAATGCACACTCTCATACCCCCGAATGTTCTGACAGCCTTGCCACATTTGCCTTGCTTTGGCTCGATACATCTTTACAACAGGGACCAAGCTGTATTTTCTCCCCATCTTCTTTCCTGCATGCAGTGTGAGTCATGCTGTCATCATTTCACACTGTGAAATACATTTACAGTAATAACTCTGTACAGATGGCACAGGTCAGAAACACTAAGCATTTTGGTCCCCAGCCACAACTAGTGCTTTATCCAAATTTGCTACTTGTGAAGGGCAATAATGTCTGGATCTGCCTCAAAAACAGTATACAGAATTATAGTTCCACTTCTCTTCCTTGCATTATGCTCACAGCTATCAATTTTAGTAAACAGTAAAGGTAGTCTTGAATGATCAGCCAGTGCAATGTCAACACTTGTGTTCAACATTTTAAGGAATTGGATCTCAGAGGGGAAACATGTCAAGAATGAAGACGAGACTGTCTGATAAGGCATTATAAAGGATCTGACTTGTTCTCAGCAGCAAATTCATGATGCTAGACATGAGAACATGCACAGACACAACAATATCATAAAGGAAAATGAGCTCAGAAGAAAGCACACTGACAAGATAGCAGTTTCAATAGGCTGCTACCAAGTGTTTACAATGTGTTGATGTGGTTATTCAATTACATTTCATGTCTCTCTTTGAAAATTGTGCTAACATTCATTCATAGCCTGTGGTTACTTATTTAGTTAACAGGTATATTCTCTTTTTTTATGAGCCTGTGATGAAATTCTAGCTGTCATGTGATTTCTTAACTATTTGACCAGATAAGGATCCAAGGTAAGCTCATTGATTATTAGCAGTGTGAAATGACCTCTAATGTGCTGGTTGTTTATTTCTAGCCTTCCTTTCCACTTCAGTGAATGTACCAAGACGGATTTCTCAACCATTATGCCCTCCCTGAACAGACAGAGGACACCTTGGAGCTGCTGACCTCAGAGCTGTTGTGGTCCAAAAAACCTTATAAGCCTGCACTTAAATTCCAATATGAGCCATCCTGTTAGAAAACCCCACATGTAGCTTTTTAAACATAGTGAGGGAATAAATTAAAGATATTTTTCCACACGTAAAAAAATGAGTGTGTGTGAGCTGAATAGACACAGTGCTTGTGACAGGTACATGCAAATGGGAGAAAGTGAGTTCAAAGTCTTCCAGGAAGTCTTGCAGATCACATCTTACTATGCTGAAATTTAGCTGGTCAGATAAAATGTGCTGCATTTTAAACGCAGTTTTCTCCTTCATTAATTTGCACTTTTCTTTCTTATACGGTGTCATTGCCAGTTTAAAGACGGCTGGAATGCTAATTAAGCAGGCACATAAAAGCTGTCTAGAAAGAGAAACAGCAAAAAGAAAAAAAAAAGTAAAAAGATCTATAACAACCTAGTGCTCTGTGGGATATTGAGGGATTCTCTGGCCCTCCCTCTCCCTTACTGTGGTAATGGGCTTTCTCTCCCTAGGCTGCCCAAGAACTGTATGTGTGTCATTAAACATATCGCTTTGCCCAACACAAACGGTCGTACAAAGCTACTCACGCTTGTGGATATATTAATTAATATGTATTGCATGAATATATGGTCCTTAAGTGTACACAGGCTAAATCCTTTGAAGCATGTCAGATAACTTCTCTCAATTCCAACTTCTGCAGGACTGTGGTAAAAGCCATGCATATATATTGTATGCTATATAAATAATCACACGCATGGACGTGCACAGCCCTCTTTCATACATGTAGCCACTTGACGGCCGCATATGAAATGCTGAGGAGCTTTTTCCATTTTGAAAATGTTTGACTGGAGTAAGCAATATGTATCCATTAGTGACTTAAACACAAACTGCCTCCCCTGCTAGCTGTTTGATTATAATTAAATTACATTCTTCCCCAGGGAAAGCAGGAATCCTCATGTCTATGTGGTATGCCACAGTGGGAGCCGGTGACACACAACGGCAGAGAAGGGAGAGACAGAGGGAATGACAAATTATAAACACATGTAATTTAAATGATGGCATTAAGGAGTTGAGGGATAACTGCAGGGAAAACAAACAGCGAAGAAACATTTAAATGTGCAGCAGACACCGCCGCATAGTAAATGCTCTGAAGATGCACGGCATTGCCCGATATTTACTGCATCACAGTTGTCCTCCCCAAAAGCTAGCTCATCTATTATGTTAGTATTCATTGAGACCTGCAGACTATCAGTGATGTTGGGTTTATAGGCTGATGAGTGATAGGCAGCGCCCACATACATCTGCAGTTGAGACAGTAGCATAGGGCAATCAATGAACCTCCCCCAACACGCCACCACTTCAACCGCAGTGTTTGCACTTTCACAACTTTGACAATCTGATTCGCCTCAAGGATCGGGGTAGGAAATGACTCAAGATTCCTCATGTGGTTTGGAAAAAAGAGATGAATTTCAATTATTCAGAAGGGTAAAACAGGAAGGCGGCTCTTGAATGTCAAATACCAATTCAGGCAGGGAGGTGCAAGACGCAAGAGAAGACAGGAGGAATATAAGCAAATGAAAAAAGAAAGACTAGAAGACATCCAAAACTTGCTTGAATGAAGTCTGCAGAGACTAAATAAACATGCCATTTCAGCTTTTGTTGTATGTTTCCCAGTGTGCTCTGAGTTGTGTTATAATCTTTATTAAAACAATCCGTCTTCTTTCTCTCACGGCGTCGTTTTTGCGAACAACACGTTCTCCATATAGTTACATGGGCAGAAAAGATGCATCAAACTAAAGTGGTACACTGGATGTTATGTATTCTGTTTACATATTAAGGCTGCAGAAAGGATGCCAGTATAGGTTGCAACGGAACGAGAGACAATAGAATTAGTCATGATTTTTTCCCTTATACGCCTCTTCTGCCTTGATTTCAACTGAATTCCTGGCTGAGAAGGAGGGGGCTCATTGCAGTTCATAGAAAGTCATGGTTCTGATCTTGTGCTGGAGGGAATACTGGTATCCCATTCTCTCTGATATGCAAAGCTAACGTCTGGCTTTTGAAAAGAAAATCTTTATACACACTGTTTGCTACTTGATGTATCTTCATCCCCAAATCAGCACCAGCGTTGCTTACAGGCAAACTCTTTTGTTAGCTTTCGAAATGTACAATGATACACTGTCAGCATTAACTCAACATCATCTTGCCAGCTTCTCAAAACCCATGCCTGGTTTCTTTTCCTTTTTTTTTTTTTTTTTTTTTGGCTTTTTGGCCAACGCCTCTTTCAGATGGACACGGGGAAAATAAGAGACATGTAAATCCCACGACTGAGAACCTCTGCCACACCGAAGCATGCTCCCTGAATATCAAGCACTGATAATGAAGTCATTTGTTTGAGAGTTGCCAGGTCTCCCACCAAGGCTGGTATTCATTAGTCAGTCAGTGCCTCAGAAAAGGCAGATTCCCTGTGACTCATGCAGAATATAATTAGCATTTAAGTACATTTCACCTGTTCATGAAATGTGTGACCATATCTTGAAAAGACTAAGTCTATATTTATTGCTTTCTCTACTTAAAGGCTTCACAATGATGACAGCTGATGAAACGCCTCTGTTTTATCACATTACCTTTGTCAGGGAAAATTAATTTGCATGGGCACGCTATGTGCCACATCCATGTGCTGTGTGTGTGTGTGTGTGATGGCTTGTGTTTTGTGACTATGTCTGCCTAGGAAAATGAACCGTGTCTCCAAGAAACTGCCATACTGAAAAAAATAGAAATACAGACGAGAAATAAAGCTGCATATTCTGTTGGAAGTTTTATAGATGGAAGGCTTTTGTAAACCACAGAGGATGCAGAAGACTGACTCCTGTGACAAATTGCTTTCTTTTTGCCACCGTTGACCCCAGACCTCAAGATTCACACTTGTATGTGAATGCATTTGACAACTTTGTGGGTGTGCATCTGAACCTGTCTGTGTGAAAAACATATCAATAATAGAGCTTACCATTGACAGTGAGAGAAACCTCCTTCTCCCCCGCTCCTACACGCGGGACCACTGCGCGGCAAACATATTTCCCAGCATCTTCTTGTCTCACGGATTTCAGTGTCAGGAGGTTCTCATTGCTAAGAACCTGCAGCAAAAATAATGTCAAAGATGATCAAATGCAGTGACAGCAAAGGCACCTTTGCATTTGAGCTAGCAGCACAGTAGTGTTATAGGAAAGAATGAAAGGCACCATTTAATACCTTAAAGGGCACCTCTCCTCAATTATTAAAATCCAATTTAGGGTCTGGGCTCAGTGGAGTAAAGGGGTTGGCTTTGGCCTTTGATGTTGACAAAAGCAAAGGTGGAATGAGTCTGAATTTGTAGATCAAATCAACAAATCTCATGTGAGAGCAGGTCACCAAAAGGCCGGGACTGTAATGGCCTTGAATTCTTAGGTTTAATGGACATTTCAAAACACATGATAGACACTCCATATGGGCCACGGAGGTGCTCACATCATAGAGAGTCTCAAAAGCTTCATCAGAGAAAAGCAGCTTTGAATCTATTCTAAGCCACAGCATGTGAATGAATGTAAAACATACTTGTTGGCAGTGCAAATCAATACACTCACCACTCCAGATCCCCTCTTCATCCACACTATGGTAAGAGAGGGATTTCCTGTCCAGGCACAGTTGAACACGGCGTCAGATCCAAGGTCCACCTGCAAGGACTGAGGCTCTGCAGCCATGCGAGGCCCAACTGTTGAAATAAACATCATTTACTGTCGATGATACATCCATAATCAAGCATCAGCTGTGGCAGCACCAGCTCTTGGAGCTCAGTGTCAGAATATACAAGGCAGTAAAAATCCATAACCGCGTATTATCACGTTGCTGGCATTATTGAAAGGCATGCGGTATTGCATAAAGAGCCACTCACAATAGACGTCAACATTGCGGCTGATGTTGGTGCTGCCAAGAGGGTTGGTAACCTCGCAGGAAACAGGTTCGGTAAAGAAGGAGTGGTCCACGATAACCTCATACGTGTCTCCAGAGACCTCCTTGATTATGCTCCCTCCTTTGGCCCACCTGGTGAGAGGATTAGAAGGCAGAGAGAGGAGAGATGGGAAAATGAAGGAAAAGGGGAAAAGGCATTAAGACAGGTTTTCACACCTCCTTATGTCAATAGCATTCTTTTGTGTGAATAAATCATCATTCTGGGGCAGGTTTTTCTGTGCTGGCTTCAGCATATTTTTGTGGCAGCCCTCCATGCTGTGACAAGCTCCCCGGTGACTCGGAGCAGACAGCACGTTCCTCATTACGCCAGGCAGAGGGGGAGAGAGCAGCACAGAGTGCCAGCTAAGAAAAACAAATCACAGAATGACAAATGGGTATTGCCCCCACCTATGAAGACGCTGGTTGACGTGTACTGTATTACACACAACAGCTGATGTTAATAAATTGACACGGGATCACATAAAGAACATCTGTTTGTGTGTGTGAGTGATAGCTCGTGTGACAGCGATACAGACACTCCCTACGTGTTTAGGTGAGACTTTTATGAAGTCACGAGCAGCGGTGTCTTGCTCTGCATGGTCTGGATGGCTCTCTGCTGCTACAACAGACAAGGCCCATTTATAAAAGTGAAGCGAAGGCATCTGTGGATGTGTCGGGTCTCTTTGGAAAATTTAGACGGTGCTGTGGGACACACAATGCATCACGCATCTAAACGCTGCCATCCTCCACAATAGAGATGTGACTGCATGCTGATGTGGCAAATGAAAACAATGACAACGGAACCGGTGCCTGTCTCCATTTTATATTCCTGCCAGTACTGAGAGCAGTTTTCACGGGATAGGGAACTCATTTGTTTTCCATGACTAAGCTGGCCCCATGCTCGACTGAAATGCTATCATTTAAATGAGAACAGATTACCTCATTCAATCAGTAAGTGAAGTGAAGCAGAATTCTAATTGGGCTTCATGGGATTGTTTTGTGCTTTTCTTTTCCGGCGGTAGATCTTTTCAGAGTTGTGTTCTTGTGTGACAAGGATACAGCCGAGAGCTCTACAACACCTGTTTCCAAAAATGCTGAAAATAGGGCAGCATGGTGTTTTGGCCCGTCTGCCCTTTTACATAACTCGTAGTAGTTCTCATATAGTGTCTGTGTGTGTGTCAGCGAGCATGAACAGATGCATAACCCAAATAGCCTCAAGACAGAGTAATATATACACACTCTACATCTGCAATGTCTCAATATCATATCCCCAATATATTAGCACAGGAAATCCTGTGTATGCTACATACTGAAAGATTAAAGGGATGTGAACAGCATTATGTTAATGAAGATGACTGTCGATTGTAGCAGTGTGTCTGTGAATATGAATATCATTATGAATGTTTCTGCTGCTGTTCAAATGACGATGATGATAAAGACGATCATGATGAGGATGATGGTATTAATTACTGGTGACGTTTGCAGTAATCATGTGCAGACAATAATGACGATGATTAGTATAATGACAACAATGATAATGATGATGAGGACCATGATAAGAGTGATGATGCTGATGACGACAGTGATGACAACAAAAAAGATGAAGATGGTGATACCAGTGACACTGGTGGCGAATTTCACACGGGTTTTCACACCTTTCTTGTTCTTGGAATCAGCAGCTGACAAAACAATCCCTCGTCACATATTGACGTTCGGTCGTGGACTTTCCACTTCCACATGCAACACGCAAGGTACCCTGGGTGTGTTGGTTGTTGACGCTCTGGGACGCCATGTCAACTTCAGCCCGCTACATGCATTGTCCTTCTTCAAAATACACTTCCGTTTTCACAAGAAATGTTCTGTTTGCATTTGGTAGGCTTTGCCAACACACACGTGGTTGGGTTTAGGAAAAAAGAACACGGTTACGGGAAGCGAACACCAACCACCCAGGTGAAAATCAGTAGCTGTTGGACCCATCCACCACCGCTCTCATCCACCCTACTTGGACGTTCGCAACCTTAACTTTCATTCTTGTCCTGCCGCGTTTCCCCTTGATGCTGCTGGACGCTGTATATCATGCTTACATGAAAATATGGCTTTTTTTGTCAGTGTCTGACACCGGAAGTTGCTGCCCGAGTGCCGGATTTCGACAACTTCGGAGTGAGACTGGGTTGATGGAACGGCTGCTAAAGGGACCTTTAGAGCTGGGACACATACTGCGTCTTTTACCACCTGGAAAACATGAGGTCCGGCACTAGGTGCTACTTTTGTGCCTACTCTGTGCTAGCTGTCAATGGCGTGGAGGCAGGTTGCACCTCACATTGCTAACTAAGCAACTCAACTGGCATTGTATCACAGTGCACTTTCTAGAAATCCTGAGTTTAGAGCTGATCTTTCTCCAGGAGTTGGTTTTTAATTGTGTAGGTCTAAAATATTGTCTGTGGTACAAATGTAAAGCTCAGGGTAGACTAGCATTAAAATAATGAGCTTCTCCTCCATAATTATCGTTAACTGATATTTACAGAAGATAGAAAAAAATATTTGGCGACTGTGATTGGTTGCTTCTCGTCACGATACACAGTGCTGCATTCCAAAAGTTGAAGTTTGTTTATCTCAGGGCCTGAAAAACAGGCTTATGGGAATACTTGCAAAAGCAACGGCGTCACATTGACAACAACAGATTTGAGGGCACAAAAACACAGCACGTGTAAGAGCCCTTAGGAGAGCATGCTCTGACAAACATGACCACTATGACGATGACAACAGTGATGATGCATATGTATCAGAATTCCACCTACACTTTACCAGCTCATACTGAAGGAGTTGTAATAGGGACAGATGTTTGGGCAGCCGGCTGCTCCCGACTGGAGGTTGCGGCTGCCAGGTTTGGGAGCCCTTGACGGTGTTAGAGGGAGCAGAGACAGAATGGCTTCGTCCGCAGGGAGCATGGCAGCTCTGCTGGTGTGCTGGGCCATGTCCAAGACTCATGTCTAAACATAGCTGGTCCACGGTAACACAAACACCTGCATTCCCTTTGGGAGGTTAGAAGGGACGGTGCGAGCTTACTCAATAGCTGACTCACTTTACACTGCTGTATCCTATTCGGGGATTTGATTCAGACAAAGGGTGTGAATCCTGTACGCTTGAGTGTCTGTGTGTGTGTCTGCAAGCACATGTGCATAAAAGGTGTGTGTTTTTGCGGGCATACGGGTCTATGAGCTAATGCTGTTATACACATAAACAGGTCTGCCGTTAATGGAAGCAGAGGATGAAGGAGACGTGAAAGAGGGGGAGAGTTTTGTATTCGCTGAATGTGATTAAGGCAATAAAACAGTAACAATTAAATTAGGCAGGTATCTGTGCCATCAGCATCAAGACCCACAGTAAATCAGGCCCCACAGTTATTATCAGCATGGTTAAGCACAGCACAGTGCAGCGCCATTCCATTCTCCCTTACATGCATATTGAAAGTGATGACTGCTGAAATCTCAGGGGAATATAAAATAAATATGCAGGTTTAGTTATAGCTTGCTGTCATGTTGACATGGACATAAATTACAGAGCCACCTTATGTTCTGCCAAGGATTAAGTATAGGTAGACACTTATATGTGTGTGCTATTTAAAAAGAAAGACGTGTCATGTAGACTACGCCATTAAACCTAAAGGAAAGCCGGGATTGCTCCAGAGAGTTGGGAGAAGCCTAAAAAAGACAGGAAAAACCAACTTTTGGGGTTATTCAAGGACTTTCTTTCAGACTTCTTGGATCTCCTTTCCTTAACTTTTAAGCAGTGTTACAGACTTTAAATGTTTAGTCCGAACTTTTCAAGGTAATTTCCAACTTGCTATTGTCGCATTGATTTGTATGTTTGCAGAGATGGTGCACTTTAATCTACAATTTTGCAATTGTGCTGTGAATTACTGAGCTGATTACATTTTAGGTGTTGCACCTAGGCACTTGCATTTTTTTCTTTTTTAAAATAAGTAACACTATAAGATAAGATGATTTTCTTTCACACATTTTAAGTGGCTGCTGCGAGAGTAGGCATAAGAATGCTGGCAGTCTTGTCCAAAACCAGTGGCATTTTTCAATTAGTTACCTTCAAGGTTTGCGTTTGGTCATGTGGTTTGAGTTATGGTGATTTTAGTGTCAGTCAGAAGTAAACAAACAATCCACAGCAGCGGCAACAACAACACTGAGAACATAAGTATGGGGAGGATTGGAATAATGTCTGCTGCAGTGCCATGCAATGGGTGTTTTTTTTTGTTTTTTGTCGCTCTGTGCATAGCTGTATGTGCAGACAAGGGACCTGATTTGCTTTGTTTGTTATTCTTTCTCTTCTCTCTGGTGGGTTCTTGTTTGGATCTGAGAAAACCCTCTGTGTCTTCATCAGAGGGTGGTTGAGTGATTGTGATGTATGCCAGTTAGCCCTCCTCCTATTATAAACAGTAATGAAGATGTTCCGATCCACTCGTCTTTCCCTCTTAGAGAGTGTTGATTCCCCGAGTGCAGACTGAAACGCATGCCCATTACTCTTACCTCATTCACACTCAGCACCACTTTCATCTTCTCCTCCAACCCCCGCCTCCACGCCAACTCCTCTCCTGTCCTCTGACTTCCTCCCTCTTTACTCTCCCCTTGAGCTGTGTTCTGGCAAAAGTTCAGGTATCTGTAGAAATATATCTTATTTCCATTTTCACGTTTAAAGTCAGATTTACTGAACTGGGATGGCAATCACAAGGGGTTGTAGGCAGCAGAAAGCGCCAAGCCTTTGACTGGTGCCCCCGCTATCCTGGGTCTGTGTCTCAAGTGTCCATTGAATTCGAGGATGGCAAAGTGGCGCAGTGCACATTGGGAATGGATGGCTCTCTCGGGGATGGAAAAGAGGCCATCCGTCTAAGAACTACTCTGTCCTTGTGCCGTATCTGATCTGGGGGAGACAGAATGTATTAGCACTGAAAAATGGCCCCACACTGCTTGACCAGCTTCCTGCTCTTCTGTGTGATATTGCTCTATAGAGGGGGAATTTGTGGGGGGCTCTCCCGAGTCAAAGCCTCTCAGGCAAGCATTATGAGGCCCAAAAATCCCCAGTCTACCATGTCTTGAACTCCAATGGTGCAGGGGAGTCCTGAAGCGCTTGTATAAATTGCAGATAAATCTAAATGGGCGACTATGAAACCGGGGAACTGGTGGAGAGCATAACCTTGAAGTATCAAAAGTTATTAGTCTGTGTGGATATTATTCAATCCTACAATGGATTGTGTTGATGACAGAGAGCGAGGCAGCCGAGAGAAAGTGAAAGAGAGAAAGCAAGAAGGGAAAAATAAATTGGAGAGTGGGAAATTGGCAGTTTTATTCTCTTTTAGCTTCAACCTCCAACCTTTTTTTCACTCCGCATTTTGTCAGACTAAAAGAAAAAGTCATCTCAACTGCCATTGCATCTTAGCTCCTGATACCCCGGGGAGAAGTCTGATTCTAGCATTGATCCAGTCTCGTAACAATAGAGGTGAAATCCCTTTGCAGGTGCAATAGACGTCCTGTCTATGCTGTGCACCTACACAATCAAATACAAACCTTGTTTTCCACAATATCGCTGCCCTCTCTCCTCCTTTTCTTTCTCAAAGGGCAGAATCCATCAAAAAGGCTACATCTCTGTTTTGCCACCTGTGAGTGTGTTGTACATCCATTTCATTTCCCAGTACCATTACAAGATTCAGAGCCGGCCAATTCCCTTTGCTATCGATTTCATTCCATTTATTTTTCGCCAGGTTTTTAAAACCTCCCACACAGAAAACCATCTCTTGACAAATCACTTGAGTGTTATACTTCTAGCGGGCCATGCAAGACTTCATGAGAATAATTACTGTCCATTCTGTTGTTTCATCACAATTACAGATGTAAAAAAAAACAAAACTAAATTGATTTTAACAAGTGCAACTGAGAATGTGCCTATCAATAAGCTTTAATAAGCAGGAAATGGGTGAGAGGAATGCAGCTTTACACAGTTTTGGAACAGAATATATTAGGGTTAATAAAACTGCTGCAGTGAGATGCTGGTGGGTTTTTTTCTACAACATTTATGAGGTTATTTTATTGCCTTTTTCTCTTTCTTTTTTTGGATGAACTTGATTTGGATTATTACATATTTTGTAATACAAGCCCAGAAAATAAAAGACTTGTGTACATGTTGAATGCTTCTGCAGAGCAACATTTATGTACAGTGCCAATGTGGAGCCAATGTAGGTACTATTTATGTAGGTGTTAAGCAGTGATACTGTAGGGAAAAAAATGCTTTTAACAAATGTTATCCTTTGGCGATAAAAAAACCCTTTTATTGAATATAATCCCAGGTGTTGTTGGATACCTTTATGTACAGTAAAAAATCTGTGGGGTTAGCTGAAGCATGAAATGGGCAGCCATCTGTTGATGTACTATTATGAAAGGTGCAAAGGTGTTTTATTTGCACAATGGACTCAGACAGCATTGAAATATCTCAGTAGTTTTTTATATTCTTTGCTGCTGCACTTCAAAGTAAAACTGAAATGAAACTGTTATCAAAACTATTAGTAAATGTACTGAAAATAAAGTAACAACTAACCAGACTAAACAGGGATAGAATGACTGATCTCTCAGTCAGTGTGAACAGGTGTGAATGTGAGTGTGAATGGTTGTCTGTCTCTATGTGTCAGACCTGTGATAGTCTGGGGAACTGTCCAGGGTGTACCCCGCTTCTCACTCAGTGACAGCACCAGCATGCAGTTACAGAAAATGAATGAATTAATGTGTTTTATTTTTTTAACCAGAATAAAGTATCTTTTGTCTCTGGAGTTTGTCTGTTGCCTCCTTAGTTAACTCTGCTTTGTTGACTGCAGTAAATTGTCTTCTTGAGTCATGCTGTAATCTTTCTCTGAGTCAGTTTTGGAATTTTGGTCGGGTAAGATGAATGATGTCTTATGAAAAAGTGAAGATCTTTGTTTCTATCCCTTCTCACAATGGATCTTTTCTTGTAAAATCCCATCTTTGGGACATTTGAGTAAATTTCACTGTGTCCTAACTGGATGTGATGCAAGTGAGTGTCAGTAACTAAACCAGTTTGATTGCATTGTTCTCTGTTGGAATGTCCTAACTGCCTGTGAGCGACGCAGCACGGCGCCGGGTGTCGTTTGAGCTTAACTTTTGTCGGGCACCCCGTTTGTATTTTAGTCCTTCCACTCATGTTGAAAGTGCCACAATGGCTGAGGAATAGCTGATTTACAGGGTTAAAATGAGGATGAGGAGTTATCTTTATGAAGCCTATCCCAGCTGATGTTTGGCGAGAGGCAGCATAAACCCTGGACAGGTCACCAGACTATCACAGGGCTCACACATAGAGACATACAACCATTCACGCTCACATTCACACCTACGGACAATTTAGTGTCACCAATTAACCTGCATGTCTTTGGACTGTGGGAGGAAGCTGGAGTACCTGGAGGAAACCCACACTGACATGGGGAGAACATGCAAACTCCGCAAAGAAGGGTCCCCCACCTTGAGTTTGAACCCCCCCTGTGAGGCAAAAATGCCAACCACTGCATCACCGTGCCACCTAGTATTGTTGTGAATATGAATAATGAGGAGGTATGTGCTTAGCCATCTTTTCAGCGGTTATGTCTCTGAGCACACAGCTGATAGGTAAGTGGTTTGTTTGCATGATATTTAATGGATTCAGTGGGACAGGGAGCATCTGATGTAACGTAATGTGACGCAATGGTCAGATGCTCACTTCCTGTTAGTACATGGTGTTAAATTATAAAAAATACCATACAGTAAAATGATAACTGCATGAGCTTGAATTCAAACTTGCAGTTTGCAGTGTCTGCCATATTCAACCACTACTGTACAACACACACACACACACACACACACACACACACACACACACACACACATAAAAACACCAGCAGACCCCCGGGGGTAAACCTGCCTCCTTCCCTCTGTATACTGTGGAGCACAACCCAATCTCAGAAAAGCTGTAATCTTGACAGCTTCATCAGACGTCATGCGCATTATGTTTCCAGCTTTCCTCCAACACACTGATGGACATTTAATGTTCAAGGGAGATGATATGACCACAAAGCAAGCAGCTATGCAACAAAGTCCTGTATTGCTTTGCTGCAGCCCAGTGGAACATGACAAGCTATCCCAAATGATTTTCCTGAGGTGTATTTTCATTATTCAGTATGACAGTGTAACACTGTTTTTCTACTCTTCATTTCAAAGTGTGGGCAGATGTAATGGTGTCATGGCATCATAAGAAGATGTCTGGCAATGATTAATGCTTTCAATAATGACTTGTTAAATCTGGCTTAATGTGAACACGCATTATCTACCAGCAATATTGATTAGAGAAAACCTCATTTAAAGTTAATTGTACCAACTTTTTCTTCCTGGTTTACATTACAGGGTTTTTGCGTATGTGCAGTCAAAACGCTTCTTTTTCTGATCTCACCTGTAGAGTGTGACAGGCGGGTTGGCCTTTGCAGAGCAGTGGAACTTCACAAGGTTTCCTTCCAGAACGGGCTGAGGCTCCACTGAGAGATTGACAAGTGGGAGATCTAAAACACAAAACAAAACATAGAGACACAAAGACAACCAATTACAAACTGGCAGCCTCCTCAAACACCCTGTAGTGAACTGTATGTGAGCAACAAACACCATGTTGTTGACTTTTTCCCGGGCTAAATAAGTCTCCGAAAGAAAATTAGTACACATTTTGCAGAGCGGGCAAAATAGATACCTTATGAATAGTTTAGAAAATGTGCAACCTCAAAAGAAAAACACAGACATGCTAAATAAATCCTCAGTTTTATGCAGAGGACCTACATTTTCCAAATGTTTTTTTTTTGTGACCTAAAACTGATTTGGCAGCCTTTTATGTAGCTGCACCACACGTACAGTATTGCAGGTAAATATGCTCCACTTAAAACCACAAGGTAAAAAGTCCCTTTATTCGTATTATCTTACAACACACTGTGGCAGCATTTAGAACAGTTGTGACAACTTATCACAGTTTGTGGCAGCATTTTCTCCCAAATAATAGGCAATTACTCTTGAATAATTTGATGCCCTATTTGTTATCTTCTTGCCACCCACCTAGGAGGTCTAGGCCCAGCTGCTAAACAACACTGTAGTGTATTTCACAGGTGTGGGAAAGAATATGCTATTTTTATCCTCATATATTCATTAGCGACGTTATAAGGAGCGAATCAAAGGCAAACTTGACTTGATAATGAGTTTCAGTAAACGGCAATTTGAAAACAGTGAATAGTCCATAGTGCAATTCCCCGCAATTAAAACAACGAACAACCTCGGTGATACAGTACAATTAAAACAGTTCTTAGAATAACAAGCATACAGATTATGCAAATCTAATAAACAACTTAATTTATCCTAATTGACAAAGGTGGGATTCTTTTTGAAGATACGTGTTAATTTCCATATCAATCCCGTCCCATGTGAAACAAACAGCTATTTACCCAACAGACTCAGAGAATGAATTTCAAGTAGGTGAAGCTATGTGTCCGTGTTTCTAAAAGGAGGCTGGGTTTATATTGTTGAGAGCTTTAAATGCAGATGGGGGAAACTGATCAAACAGACCTACAGCTCACCATCAGTTGTTTTTTTTTTATGTATTTCTAATGTTAATGAAGAATCAGATGGATGGAGTGTTCCCTGTTAGAACAATTCACATTGTGTCACTGTGAGTTCACTGTCAGGGAAACTAAATGTTGTCCAGCACATGGTGCTTCATGGCCGTGCATTTTTCCATCTTATTTTAATGTTAAAAATGTTTGCACACTAATGGCTAATACACTTGTCTCATGTCATATTCAGGACATGCATGTAAAACAGCCTGTAGTATTTTCATTGACTAACACTGAGAGGACAAACTGTTTTCTGTGGTGCCACTATCTCAGACTAAACCACCACAGCTCCACAGCCGTGTGCCATTTGCAGCACCAGTGGCATACTGGTAAAGCATCATGGACAGCAGATTAGTCACATAGGGAGAGAGCTGGTTCTGGGTTTGATGCCGATGCAGCCATCTGTTTCAAAGGTGTACTTAGTCTATGTGCTCTGTGTTCAATAATACTAATGTACTAACTAGGGACTGTGTTTGGATTTGGATGAATAGCAGTGGTGGGCACAGAGATTCATACAGAATTAAAAGAAGCACACAAACACCACTGTAATGAAGCCAAACAACCCTGTGTATAGTTATGGAGAGAGATTCTCTGTGTGTGTGGGCATGAAGTGTAGGAAAACTGCTTTTTACCCTGTGGCTGTGCAGATGCTCTGGGCTGGCTCAGCTGCCACAAAGCCCTAGAGAGGGGGGTGGTCCAGGTGCCGTATTCCTCCCTGCTCGCACACACCAAATTCCCCATCAGGAGCCTTATTTCCCTCCCAGACAGTTGCCCCCCTCCAACCCCCACCAACCACCCTACCACTTTCAAATCCGTGAGCTCCACCTGTGCCAGTTCTCCCCAGGCCAGTAAAGAAAACAACAACACTGTGGATCCTGGAAGACTGAAGGCCGCAGTGAACCAGCTAGTCTCTCCAGGTACCGAGCAGCCATCTGTGTGTGTCTGTATTTGCATGTGTAGGCACATGTTTAAGAGGGGGCTTGTGTGCATATGAAAGGGCATGTGGGTGTGTGTTATAATAAAACAGGAAACCTATCCATGCCTTGAGCAGCAGTGTTAGCTGCCCAGTAGGTGTTTTCAGCATCGCAAGCGGTTAATTGCACGGACAAAAATATGGGCAGAGGGAACCTCAGGGGCAAAATGACAGATGTGGTATTGGTGGAGCTGGTAATAAAATCCAGCTAAAAAAGCTGGAGAGTACAGAGAGAAGCAGACATAAGAAGAGAGGGATGGAAGTCTGGAGGTGGTGCCTGTGCTAATAGACACAGTGTGTGAGTGAAAGCTAATTGTAGAAGCTAATTCACAAGCTGTCTTCACTAAAGGTGTTCCTACACTGTACTTTTCAATCATGCCAACCTTTTTCTCTGGTCTTCCCGCCAAAAGACTTCTAAGAACACAAGTGCTCGTTACTGTCAATCCGGCTACTAATTATTGCTCTTTTCAAATGACTGAGGCGTAAAAAACGACCATCCCTTAAAAAAGACCTCAGTCTCGCTCAGCGAGGGGTAATGTCATGACGACTTTACATCTATTTCTAAGTCAGATGAGCAATTTGTTGGATAGTAGTAGCTCCCCGAAGAACCACAAGCAAAGACAGCCCTGGGAGGAACAGCTGTCAAAAGTCTGCCAGCAAAGGCCTTGTGTGTAAAACTGGGACTGTCGTTTCTCTCACCTTTGACCCTTCAGATTTGACATCTACTTAATAAAGAAGTCCATTTGCCACTTTGATGTATAAATGCATGAGCTGCTGAGCGAGTGCATCTGAGGCATCACGCAACAGCGCATCAATATGCAAGATTGTTAATTCCTCTGATTCGTCAAGAGAGTAGTAGCGAGGGACCGAGAGGAGGAGGGATGGATGAATAGAGGGAAATGGGGATAGTAGGACTGATCGGAGCTCCAGTGAAAACAACAGGATGAATGGGGGGGGTGTTGTGGTTGGCCGACAGCTTTTGATCGGTTAGTTCAAAGTGGAGACCAGATGGTGTTTTTGGAACAATCTTCCAACTTCTCTCTATTTCCTGGAGATAGTGCCAACATAAATTGTTTTTTCCCTTTCTTAAAGCTCAATTTCCAATCTCTCCGGGTCACTGTAGACAGCTGTTCTCCAGTAGGACCAGCCTCAAACTCCAGGAATGTCGGCTGCCTCTGAAGGATGGGGAAGCTGTTTGTGGGCCATCCGCTTGTGGCTTATAGCCTTAGCAATATGGGCACACTGTCATATGGTTGGCTGAGTGGAATACTTGAGGGGAGAACAGACTGACTGAGAACCTGAGGTCCAGCATATTGATCATGAGATATTCAACCGTGGAACAGTGAGGAATTTACTCAGTCTAATGAAGGCAGATGTTCTGCTTTTCAAACAGCAGCTTAAGTGATCAAATCAAAGGATGGTAGTCAAAGCTTTGTTTAGAGCATCAGAGAGATCTTCAGGACACTGGACGTGTGGCGTCAGCATTGCAACATAATAAGAGATTCATCTAATGTTAAAAAAACAACTCATGCACCCTTATCCTTACACTCTTTTCCTCTCAGTTTCTAATTCTGTCATCTGCCTTCAGATGAATTTGCCATTATCTGCTTGATTAAGCAGGGAGAGCATGTAGCTGCTACCAAAAACAAATCCTCCCCAATTGCACATCTGCATGTTCTTTATTAATTAGTCTCAACAAATGGCATTCATTTTCCCCCCACATGGCTCAGCTTGTTTGCAATGCAAACACACGGAGAACCTTGGCTTTGCTCGTCCCCGGCGCATTCATTTCCCACTACGTGTTTGAAAGCGGGCTTCTATGTGGGGCAATGCTGTGCAGATATGCAGCTGGACTATATTTGAGGAATATTTTAAGTTGTGTGGATTCAGCGGGACATGAAACTGTGGCATCAGAATCATATTTCACCGCAGTGGTTTTATGCCGGGAGGTAGCGGAGTTTAGTGATTAAAGAGTAAAGGGCATAATGCAAGTTAAGTCATGCTGCTGGAGAAAACAGCATCAGGGGGTAGCCACCCCTCCGCTATCAAATAATTACAGTCTGCTAATGGACTGGTATGGACAACCGAAGTCAGCAGTCTATCCAGGGTTCTGAATCACCTCTGTTGGCTCTAAATCCCTCTCATTTTGGCAACATCACCAGTACATACTGTATTTAGATGCTAATTTGTCCAACCCTTAGTCAGATAACTCTGTATGAACTTATGTGGGAATGAAAATGCTGAGGTGGATGTAAATCATGAGCATTAAAGTGATGATAAAAGAAAATACAGTAGTGAAATGCATTGGATTTTAGGCTGGTTTAAGCTGTGGAGCAGTGTGCCGGGTTGTGTTTAGATTACTCTCATTTGGATTTCTATAAGGATGGAGCGGAGAGTGAAAAAGGGTACCTAGGCTTAGAGGTGAGCGGAATACGAAATGTTGAGAAGGGGCACACAGACTGAGAAGATTTTAATTACTTTTGTTGCCATTAATATTATCTCACTAATACGGTCAATTAGAAAGCTCTGGGAAGGAAAATAAATTAGACTATTAATTCTAAATATTGGGACTTGCACACAAGGAGACATGCGATGGAAAATCCCAGCCTTTATTCAGAGAGCGTAAACGCTCAGTATCCACAGTTTCAGGGAATACACAACCATCTGGGGACATTTACTTTTGCTGCCTTACTGAGAGTCACATCAGAGCATCAGTATGAATCTAATCTTCAACACAGAGCCAGCACACAAAATGTCAGGGAAATATTTGCAAGGCATTATCTCTGTAGTCGATAGCAGCTACCTGTCAACTCATAATTTCTTAGTGGTAATTAAGGCGAAGCTGATATGATTGTCAACACATTCACAAGACTGTATGCTTTGATATCATTTCTAAGTATTAAATTTTAGGAAGGCAAATTGAACTTAGACAAGCAGA